AATAGTTATGAGCTTGCGAGACATTTCGTAGGTGGAACAGTTTTGCCACGAAACTCTACCTCTCTACTACATTATGGTTTCTTGATCATCACAGCGGATCATCTTGACACAATTCTGCTCGAGAAACAACATTTTTACCTCCAAAACCCTGGAATACTAAACAAGCAGCATATATGAAGTTGCATTTTATAGGGTTTGCTGCATGGTTTATATTAGTTGAAGCTGTCCTTCTGAGCGGAGATATGTGTGTGTAGGTTAAGCGCCAAAGCGCGCAAATTCCAAACACGTAATAGCAGGATATGATTTTGCTTAAAGTAATGAGAAAAAGGGAATAAGTCTAATTTCCTGAAAAATCTACGTGTGGCTTCTTTAGCAACGCGACTGCTGCAACTATGATTTTACTACCTATGTTTCTCGCACTTTCGTAAGAAAAAGTCCTTTTGATGATCGTTGTAGCTGGCGTGGCGTATCTCATCTAATTGTAATGATAAAAGCCATTGTTTCTGAGCAGTGTTTAAGATCTATTAAGCCTAGCAGTATTCAGCAAAAGTGGAACTCACTTCATCGTTGGCAAAATTGCTACTTTCGAAGAGAAACACTGCAAAATTTGCAAAGACTATGGCAGCTACCCTCTAAGGTTTTTGAAACTTTAGCGTTTACTCCATCAAGTTGTTATTCTCCAATTCTTTGCCGTCGTCAGCCATGTTCTAAAAAATGACTGCCTTTTGTAGATTGAGGAAAGAAGATGGAGAGTGAGCGATTGCCAAAGCTGGCTTAACGATAAGCCTCTTTACCGTGCGCTGATAGTGGGGAGAACAGTTTGTTCGGGAATAAAAGCACGATAGTTCATGAAAGTCACTGCTGCCAGATATGCAATATTCAGGCTAGCAAAATGCAGATAAAGGAAGAAGGAAGCATTCTCCTCTGTGTAAGCGACGAAAAGCTTTCATTCCAGAGACGGTGTAATACACCGATCCATTTTTTTTAAATTCAGATTATCATGAATATCGAAGTTTGTTCAACTTCCTCTGTATTTTCACTTTTACTCCAACTAGCTCTTATATTTTGCAACCAACTTCTGACTGATCAACTTCACTTTCTGCAACAGAAAGCATTCTGTTACCTCTATGCTCTTCTACATTGTGAATATGCATACAATACCAATCTTATTTTCTTAGCTACTAAGAATTTCCCAGATTTTTCACCAAGAATGCTATTCATTTTATACTTATTGAAGAAATTTGGAGAGTTTGGGAGGTTTTATTTGCTAAGAATTATACTCATATATTAGGCAAACATGTGAGTTATGCAGCATTGTACATCTACTTCGAGACGATCATAATCACCTTTTTCCCTTTTGGCAGGTTCATTCCGAAACTTTGTTGTCGTTAGGATTATTCAAAACTGGGCCTATTGAGATTTTTCCTCATACCTCAGTCCCAGGTCGTCACTTAATTAGAAAAAGATTCCAAAGTATGTCAAACATATGGGTTGAAGTTCAAAGAACAAGTGAAAAAAATTCTTTAAAATCGAAGAAGATTGTAAGTAAGAGAAATGGTTTTCTTTTCAGAACAAAATTTAAAGGTAATCGGTTCTTTGTTGAAATTTTCATATCCGCCAACTAATGGAAAATCAATAAAAAATTATAAAAAA